AAACTTGGTACTGGGGTACAGAGGTTCCTTTGTATGTATATTTGTATAGAGTATACTATATAACATATATATTCTTTTGCTCTACGTAATAAAGATTTTCCTTCTTTGTGTTGCACCATATGCCACCCATTAATTATTTCAATCAATAGCTTTTTAGCGATAACGCTGCCGACTGTACTGTAAATATATGCTTGTATCCATGTTTTTCTTTGTGGTGTACAATAAAGTGTTCATTCATTTATTCATAAGTGAGCACCAAGAATGGATTTTAAAATTCAATCCCTAAAGGGGTGAAATTTATATTGACCACGCAGGCGAAGCCACGGGCGGATAGCTAGTATACCTTTAATAAAAATTGTTTATTCATATACTTACTAAAGACATTTTACAAGGTATCCATCATCGAAGTTCACTTTTATTTCAATGCGGACTTAATTCGTGTATTTCAAAGACGGTATAAAAGTATGTTTCGAATATTTAGCGCAAAAATTCTAAATAAATTCTAGACGAACATTATTGGAATTATAAACAGTTACACAAGATCAAAAGGTTTTAGAGTTGAGATATTACAAAAAGTTATTAAACTTATTATTATATATTTGAAATGCTATATTGAAATATTCTTAATGAAAAATGTTTAAAACGGGTTTATGGGTGGATTGTCTGAACATTGATGAAAATACGCTCAGTCCTAGGTAAGAGTTACATTTTGTTTTTTTTAAGCAAAATGGACTTTTCAAGCAAATTTTTGAATCTTTTCATTAAGCATAGCTGTTAAACTTGTTAATATGAAACACTTACCGAAATTACTACTACTATTTAAAAATACGCACATGATGTGTTATTCTATTTTATCGTAATTACCAGTAACATGTAAGTTACCAATAATATTAATAATACTAAAGTAACGTTTATATGTACAGTCGAGAACATGTCAGGTTATAGAGAACTGTCACATTACTTAATTTGATTTTAAACCTAAGAACATTGAGTGTACTTTATATAATACTACGATTAAGGTCGATTGCGGTAATTTGAGATTTCATACTAAACTGATCTGTTGATACGTATATATTTATTTTAGTATATGTCGGCGGGTAGTTAGAAGGGGCTATTACGAAGCCCAAATAGATCGTCCATATCGGAGGACTATCTTTAAAATAACATTGCAGGCGTGTATAACAATGTGGATTTATTCCATTTTATCACTTTTCATACGAAAATATAATAAGATGAGCCTGATGTCGTTGGATGTCTTTACTCCTCAGCGATTTGAAACAGAATGTGTGCCAAAATGGCGGCAACTTGCTTTTTGTTAACGAACTGTCAAAGTCAGTTGTCACCATTCTAATAAAATTAAAAGTGTCGATGATCACGCCCTCTCTACAATCGAGTAATTAAGTAATCGAGTAACTAGCAATTAAAAAAGAAACTAAATCAAATGATCTTCGTAAAGATGATGCGACATATACGACAATAACACAAATTTTAAATCGTAAAAAGATTTTGATCTTGGCTAATTTTTATCTATTAACGTCCACAGCATAGGGGACATACGTAGGCCGATGATGAACCAGTCTAAACTAGAACTTATGTTTTTTGTTGTTTTATTTTTATCATTATATGGCACAAGAGAGAAGGAAAAAAAATAAGTTGAAAGTAATTGTAGAGCTACCAGTAACAGTTACAAATTACAAGTGGTAACTTAGTAAATGCGTGATAATTAATCAAAAATAATACAATTTAGTCTACATTATTGTTATTAAAGCAGAGAAAAAATCTGTTTGTAATTACTTTTATCATACCAAGATACGAAAGCGGTATGAAAATGTACAACTGAGAAACTTGGCGTTCTGCCACCTTCAAGCGATTTATTGTTCGCTCTCGGCCCAACACAGCTTGTATAAATACTGCTCACTCCGCGACTCTTCAAAGGTGATATAGTAATAATATCAATTGTGATTTTCAAGTCTTCATGCAAAATGGAATAGAACGAACTTCTTGACCATACTGAAAAGATTTTCGTTATGTGGCTTAAGGTCATCACGGCATTATATCTAAGTAATGCTCCACACCGAGATTCGCACGTGTATACTTTAATGAATAATAAGCTCCCAGTAAGCATTATATGTTTCGGCATCTTCAAAAGCCATCCTTTTAATATCCTTAAAGCTGGGAAAAACCCAGGCGTATCCGCCTGGGCCTTGACGTGCTTTCGAAAGCACGGAGAGACTCAAGGAAATAAATTTTTGGACACCCACCTTATGACCAACCCTTGCCACATCGCAGACCGAACGCCTAATAAATAATAATAAACACACACAAACTGCATGATAGTCATTTTGATTACTTTTTTTAATATAGGTGATAAAATTTTTAGGATGATAAATGTTGCTGCTTTTTTCTCCCTGTTTTCTTTCACACAGATAAGTCTCATCTCTTACTTCATTAGACTAAAAAGTCACTTTCCATTACATATTAGATATAACAAAACAGATTACTTACTGATTGATATGTCGGTTGCCAAATTATATATTCATAGACAAATCAATCTACAGTATTCATAATAACATAAAATGGACGTAATTATATATTCCAGAGAAGACTCGCCCACACTGGTAGCACCGGTTCACGATCATAACGCATGAGCCAGCCATCACTACGCTCAACCATATTTTAGGAAACGCAACGACCCGACGCACATGATATGTGGTTCAAAATTTGTTCCGTGTAGGAACTACTTTGGTAGAGCGAAGTAATATATGACAATAAAAATATGACATTGAAGCATATACAATATGAAGTTTCAATAGTTAAACTACAATAAATTAAATTGTAAGAAAGTAATCGATAATGAATATTACTGTGCCCAGCAATAGGAATATTAATAGGCTAATAATAGTGACTGCGATAATTATATTTCATACAAATGAAATTAAAAAAAATCGCTATAAATTAAGTAGCTCGGTGGCGTAGAGGATAAGCGCTGCGGCCCGCGATAGTTGTTGTTAAGCAACTTACGCAAGGGTTGGTCACGGGATGGGTGATCAAAAAATTATTATCTCGAGCTACTTCATGCTTCGGAAGGCACGTTAAGCCGTTGGTTCCGGCTGCATTTGCAGTCGTTAATACCCTCCAATCCGCATTGGGCCAGCGTGGAGGGTCATGGCCCATCGTCCTTAACCATCCATAAGGAAGGCCTGAGCCCCTGCTGTAGGGACGTAAAAGGTTTGATGATGATGATGATGACTATAAATTAAATATAATTACAATTGTAATTTTTACCAGCTAAGTTTCATTAAATGAAACTCCGATTATTATTTAAAAGACAAAAATCAAATTGCTTCAAGTTGGTATTCTTATTTCAGTTTTTCCGTTTATTATATTAATTGTTAGTATTTATCACACTAGTATGAATTACTAAGTACGAGTAGCTAGTACTTAATGTGAACATGAAGTCTCTCTTCATTTGGATGTTGAACAGGACGTTTCACTGATAAATAGTTTGTTGAACTCCGTGGCCTCGTATTTTGCATGCCCCGGACAATATTCCAGTAACTTGACAAAAGTAAATCGAAATGTAAAAGTAGGTAAAATAAGTTACCTAGTTAAAAGTTTTGTATATTCGATATTTTCTTACGTAATTGATAACTCACAGCTATTTTTGGATACACTTGAGAATGTTTACAAATATTATCTATTATTTGTTGATCATACATTTTTTATATGTATAAAAAATGGGTGTTTTGGGAATTCCGCGAATAAACAATTTCATTTACTACTACAAAATAATTGAATTGCTAACAAACACACAAATCGTAAAGTCACTATGTCAAAGGTTACCTAAGCCGCTGTATCTTTAGAAATACTTATATGTTTGACTTAAATGCATTTGTCGTTTAGCCAAGCAAAAGTTAATTATAGTAGGTACCTATTACAATATTATCAATAAAAAATAATTTAAAGAAAAACAAAAAACCCGACTGCGTAAAAACGAATTTAAAAAAATACATGAAAACATTTAGTTAAATAAAAACTAAAAAGAAAGAAACTATATAAATAAAAGAAAGAAACAAGCCCAGTAGTTTAGAATTCTGTTAAGTAATACAGAACAAAACGACTCATAGTCGGGGCCCCTTGGGAAGATTGTTTCTTTCTTTTTATTTTTTATTTAAGTAAATATTTCATGTATTTTTTAAAAATCGTTTTTACGCAGTCGGGTTTTTTGTTTTTCTTTAATTTATTTATTTTTATTTTAAACTTTTTAGTTACGATTCGTTATAAGATGGTAAATTTCGCAATCAAGTCATTTCATTGAGTGAGTTAATATCGTGGGGATTAGTAAGTAACTTGCGGTGGTCTAAACTACTGATGATTAGTCCCTCTAGAGACCTAACTCGGCTCAAAGCTACATATAAGAAAATTACCGACAATGTTTTGTTAAACAAATTTAAATCGTTATATATCCTAAACTATTATTTAAAATGAAAAATGATAAAAGGAATCTAAAGATGATTTTAAAATACCTATTCAACAATACCCCACTTGACATAGTTCATCGATTTTTATTTTTTTATTTTAACAATATGACGTCTGGTTGTCGCTGTGGTGAATTTTGATTACTGTCATGTCTTTAGTGACATTCGCAAGGTTAAGACGAATCGATTGACGTAAGAATCATCAAAATTGGCCTACGCATTTGGTCTCTAGAACGCCACATAGAAACATACATACATGCATAGACTGATAAACACATTACCCCCCTTTGCGTCGCGCAGTCGGGTAAAAAGCATTCCATTGGTGTTACACAATATCATGTCACTTACTCACATGATTTAAATTGAAACTACCGTTCAATAACATCTATAGAAGACTATTCTCTTGTCTAGAAATTCAAACTGTATTTGATATTCACGCTCGCGGTTCCACTCGAATAGACGTGTATGTCTCAAATATTTGTTACATAATTCATCTATCTACCAATACCTGTGCAAAAAATCTTGTCCTCATTGGAAATCAGAATTAATATTACTACATTTCAACCAACATAAATAAATAAAGGAACAAAATAATTAATAGTCTCTATCTACCTTTGTCATTGTAAAGCTTTCCCCCTCTTTTCCGTTCCATTTCCGGACCCTAATGATACCTATTGATCGCATTATGCCTCGATAGGAAACACGGTTACATCACAATATTTCTACAGACAATGAATTTTTGACGATGCATAACTAAACTCGAGAAATAGCGTCACACAAACTATTCGATATTAATCGTTCAATTAATATACAAAGTAACTAATATGAGATAATAAAATATATAACTTACGTTCGACATAATTAAAATAAAACGAATTGTAAATTATAAGTGTATATTAACATAAGATTACTAATTTCGTATATTTATCTGTGGGTGTCTCACGAGAGCAAAGGTCTCGCTCCGGGCTATCAATTCGTTATCTGGGACAGAGAGATTTTATTTACACTCAGAAAATTATTTTCCAGAAGCAACGGTAGAAGAATGACGCCGCCTAACGGAGAGAGTTCGGACGCTCCGGACATTGTGGTGTTGGACGGTGGTTTCTCAACACAATTATCGTGTCACGTGGGTCATGTCATTGACGGCGATCCACTGTGGAGTGCACGTTTCTTGCACACACATCCTGAGGAGGTGGTCAATACACATTTGGACTTCCTAAGAGGTAAGAATTTTATTGAAATAATATCAAAAGAATCACAATATTTTTCCTACGGTCTCATATCAATATTAGAACATAATCATTTTAATTTTAAAAATAAGGTGGGTATATCGACAAAAATCGGTCATCAACCTTCCAGTACAGCAAGAGTTATAAGTAGCAACGTTCTTTGAGGCAGTTTTTTTTCTTTCTCTCTGATACTAGTATGTATAAAAATGAAAAAGAAAGCAGAAGTGGCTACCTCTTTAACGAAAGTTCCTTATTTTAATTGTAACTTAGGTTAAGAACCAAAGTCTTTCCATAGATCCACAAATATAAATTATAAATTTATCGGTACACAAAACTACCATTATATACATACATTTTTATTTTACCTACTATTGTGTGATTATCAGTAGACGTTTCGATCTAAAAATAAAGAGCCCTTGAATAATGTTTTGTCTTTCTTATATAAATAATGTGTACTAAGTGAAAATAAGAATTGAAATACAAACCCAATAATAGAAAATCGGTTGTCATCTCTTACGGAAAAAAACTCGAGGAATCGTTGAGCTGGCACGATTTGATTTTATTCATTATTTTTGTCGCCAACTCGCAAGCACGTACAAAGATAGGTACAGACAAGTAAGCAATGAATTGGAACTAAGAAATAACTCGAATAAGATGTTGTAAGAAACCTATTCTACTAATATATCCAAGTTTAGGTGTTTGCTTTCTCAAACACGTAAAATTATGTATATATCTTCATTTGTTTTTGTAAAAGTAACAAAGAAATCGTCAATAAATTTTTGATCTATTTTGTCGGCCTCGATTTTATCTAAAAACTTAAAATGATTATTTTATAAAGATTATAGTATTCTATAATAGTGTTTACCAATCTACGGTCTATGGGGTGTAGGGCACTTCTGCTAACGTTTATGACGCAGTGGATACTACAATGCAAAATGCAAGTAGATTAAGTTGGGATTATTACGTGAAAATTAACCTAATGAAATTAGCCCTGGGAGTCCGCAGAATCCTTAGAACGGTGAACGAGAGACCGGAATCAAAACTGTCTTTATCTTTTAATATATATTTATATGAACGATATTTTTTGTAATGGAAATAAATAGGCAAAAGAATTTTATCAATCCGCATGATAATTCTAGATATTTTGTTAATATAATTTTTCTTCTTTATTTTTAATCACAATCTTTATCCCGATGATCGTCAATATAATCCAGATTGTCGACTCTCGATATCAAGCATCCGTTTTCAATTTCGGCGTCTCAGAATAAAGTGTAGGTATCTTGGTACGTGTGATAGGTGCTTAATGCAAAGCTTTGTCACCCTCTCGTGAAAACATCCGTTCACATATTCAGAGATATGATCGGAGACTATTAAATTTTTATGGGACATTGAAATATTTATATTCGAAAACCGATATCAAATATTGACTTTAAGAGAGGGCGTAAGGCTGAAATACTGTCTCTATCTAGCTCATTACACCGGTATTGACACAATAGACAGAGAACGGGGAATGCGCGGAACAACTGTTTTTAAACGCAAAATTACGATTATTGTAACTGAAAATACCATATTTTGATGAAATGAAGACTATTTTTCTTATAATTTTTCTCATCAATCGTAAATAATGTAAGGAAAAATAGTTTATTTCCTAATCAATAAAATAATTATTTTATTTTCTAAGTTATTGTGATTTTATTAAAGCCGCGTTACGCCAGTTTAGCTACAAAGTGATTCGTATACTTTTTTGTAAAAAAACGAGTAAAATAAGAAATGGAAAGATTAGAGCCTTTTAGGAGTAACTTTATAATTTTATTCTATTAAGATATATATTTTTTTATAATGAATTTATAAAACGTTTAGGCTGAGACGGAATTATTATGAAAAAAATTAATTACTTTTTCATTTAAAATTACAGGTTACCTAGACTTTATTCAGTTATACAAAACCAGCTGACAGTTAGTGATTTTGGGTTTACGTGCCCTCTTAACTGAACTCCCTAATGTACATTAGAGGTACAAAACGAATAAGGTTGTTAAACAAGATATGAAAAAAATATATATTCGTGATACTTTTAATAACTGTTTTGAAAATGAGATCAAGTAAATGATATACAAATATTAAATATAGTGTAATTATAATATTAAGTAAATATTTCCTGTATTTTTTTACAAAGTAGCCGAATTGACGCAATGGGCAAAATAAATATTAAGATAACATTTAGGCTACGCTACGCACCTGTAATTTCTATTAAAAATAACCTAATTGTCACGTGTTCAAGTTCTAGTCCACGCGCACCGCAAAGATGTTGTAGCATGGTGACATGAGATAAAAAGTCACTAGTGCGCTTTTAGTCTTATGCTCAGTAAAATTGCTAAAATACAATAAGATTTAAATTCTACTTGCAAAAAAGTGTTTACCTAATCGTTGAAATATTCGTAGTATAATTTTCATTATTATTCTATACATTTCAAACTGTCTGTACCACTTTGTTAGTTTAGGGATTAGATAATTGGTAATTAATATGTTTCTGTGGCAATTAAAATTTAGTGGGTCGCAACGCCTACCATCTGTTAGAATTACATGGTTCAATAACTTTTATATAATGAAATGTTTGCGGTCAGAAGGTATCTCAAATTTGCGAACTATAAGGATATCAGGCTGTATTGTATCGAAAAGTTCCAACCAATGAAGGTTCAAGCCTCCGAGGAAAATTTCGAGTTGCCCGTTGAAAATGTATAATAATGTCCTCTAGAATATCTATGTTAGGTATTGAAACGGTAAAGTTTTGTTGTTTTCATGGTATCGTGTCTATCTCAAATACTGGACCAATTAATTTGAAATTGGGTACACACATGAACAGAAGTCCTATTCTGTTTATGGATATATATTTCTTTAATTTTGTTAAATCGTACCTGTTAAGATTACCTATGCATCAGAGGTAGAAATTCTACCTCTATTGCATCATAAATAATCGAAAACAGCGTTTTTTTTTTTGGAATCGTGTAAGCGTTTTTAAAATACATGAAATATCGTATTCAGAGAAAAAAGTAGACCCTCTGTGACCCACTGATGGCCGTGAAACACACACCATGTATAATTTTCCAAAACCCTTAGCATATTATCCATAAAAATATTTTTAACAGATCATTAAAAACTGCCTTTCAATAATAAACTTTAATAATCTAGTTCAAAATCAATCAAACCTCGATGTGATCATCATCATCATCAACCATAAGACGCCCACTGCAGAGAATAGGCTTCCCCCATAGATCTCCATGATGATCGGTCTTGCGCTGCTCACATCCAGCGGCTTCCCGCACCCTTTATAAGATCGTCGGTCCACATGGTGGGAGGCCTATGCACTGAGCGTCGTCCGGTACGTGGTCGCCATTCGATAACGCTTCCGCCCCAACGGCCATCAATTCTTCTCGCTATGTGTCCCGCCCACTGTCACTTCAGCTGAGCAATTTGAGCAATGTCAGTAACATAAGTTCTCCTACGGATCTCCTCATTTCTGATTCGATCACGTAGAGAAATACCAAGCATTGCTCTCTCCATTACTCGTTGGGTGACCTTGAGCCTTTATTGAGACCCATAGAGAAACGACCACGTTTTGCTTCCGTAAGTGATCACTGGCAATATACACTGATCGTGGTATTCGATGAGGTATTTCTAATTTATTGACTTATTCATATGAGTTATGATTGTGATATTACCAAATTATATTCCGATTCTATCAAATTACAATTCGCTTAATATGCGTACCTATCTTTGTCCTTATATAGTTGGGTGAGAGAGACGGATGCATCACAATGCTATGTGATAAAGATTAAGTCATCAAGATGCAATCAGGGAATCATCCCATGCATCGGTTTTGTCCATTTGACCGAATGGTATGTCAACATAGTTCTATGTGCGTTGCCTTGCTTAATGGGCCGAGGAGAATTTCTTTGTCAACGGGTAGTATATATTTTTTATGCAAGCAAGAATGTTTACTAATTTCTTCGTGCGTGGTTACGTCGTGCAAATAAATTTTTTTTTTTCAGGCCTTTCGTTATGTAAATATAATTTCTTTTATATAGATTGTATTAGTTAATCAAATAAACTGTTTCTCTTTTGCATGTTTAGCTGATGCACTTAATTTTTACGTTTTGATACAAATTAATTTAAAGAAAAATAATCAATAAAAATAATTGTAGGTACACTGGTAACAATGATAGTATGGAGGTAGGTGAAATAGTATATAAACGACCTCTCGCGCAACAATACTTCATTTTTAAGTGATTTCTAAATATTTTTAAGTTTGTGCTACGTAACCCCGAAATCGGGTGAGTGTTCTAGTTTCTTTAGTTTTTACTGCTCGTTTACAAGTTATAACCTTGAAGTATTTTATTTTTTAAATCATAAGTCCTCCCCAATAAAAGTCACAAGGACCATAGCGAGCGAATCTCTACCTACCCCCTGAGAAATAAAATAAAGATCGTTAAAACGTTATTCTGTTTCAATCTTTTTACCTGAAGCCTGGGGGGTGCTCCTCTCACCCCCCATTTACAAACCAACGCTTCAAGATATAATTCCTTTTATATAGATATTTTTACGTATAGTGCGCCACTTTTAGGGATCGTGCATTAATCACGTAATGTTTTTTTCAGCACTATTTAACCCCTCTCCCCTTTCGTGATACATGATGAGGTTTAAGACTACCTTCCACCCTTCCGCTCGAATCACGTGTATTTTTTTGTACCTACAATATGAATACTTATTTTTTGACGCCACTTTTTAGTTTAATAATCGCACCTTGATGAAAAAATAAATATACGTTATATATTACACCCCCTCTTCTTGTGATATTTCGCGCTTTTTTACGAACGCCCTCCTCCCCCTTTCGAGCCTCGCGTGATTATTTAATGGACGGCCCCTTATAAATAAGCACCACAAGCACTATCAGAGACTACCTTTATATTATTACTACTTCAAAAGTATGTACGTAAGTC